TCGGTACAGCAGCAGCAACGGCCCTGGTCTATCCGCTGCTGGATGAAGGTCTCCCCCCCGTATATCGTCTTGTTGCGAAGCCGCGATCCGTCCTGCACTTGAGCTGATACCATCGCTTCATCTCCACAGCAGCCGTCCTCCCCCTTTGGCTGCCACTCCGCGACCAGCCTCATCCATCAGTCGCCGTTGTCTTCTCCCCAAGCCCGCACACTTTTCTCGACAGTCAATAGGATGTCTCCGATGTGCGTTTGTTCCCCGGATCCACGTGTTCCTCCTACTTTCTGTCTCTCACCGTAAGTGCCAGCCGCCCACGCTTCTGCAAGTGTGCAATGAAGACGGGCCATTGCCCAAAACGTCACCAGTTCCGTTTTCTCATTTTAATTCCGCAATGAGTTACCGACGAACGTGTCGAGTTTTATGTCATAGGGCGGGGGGAAGGCGTTCACTGATTATTGTGTACGATTCAGTTTATAACCCTCTTGCTAACTTATACAGCTGCGAACCGCCTTGCCCCAGGCCACACCGCAGACACGCTGCTGCACCCACACGTGCCGTCAAGGTGTCTAAGATCTGGGGGTGCAGATCTTCTCCGAGCTCCCAGGATATTAAGGCTTGGGTCGATGGGCGACCGAACCCTTTCCCACGTGGCCCCCAGGCTGGACATCTGTGAAAAAGAGCTTCATAAACTCATCGGATATTTTTATTCCGATTCAGACTCTGGGACTCTCTGTCTCGCGTCCACGAGATCTCAGTATCTCTTTGAGTCGGTGTACATTCTAAACCTAGTTTTAAAACGTATCGGTACATTTCTGTTCATGGAACGTTGAGCGAATTCAGAAAATCGCTTTTGGTGTTAATCATATTATTTGGCGTTTCTCAGGTTTTAGTTTAATGATTTAGTGTCATGCTGAGTGTTTGTTTTTCTGCTGTGTCTTCTGCAACACTTTGACCTCACTGATGAAAGGTGTTTTACAAATATTATTAGAATCATCATCATTATTATTCTCCTGCTCTTGTTCACCTTTGTATTTGATACTCTGGATCCCGATCAACCACACGTGGAGTACTTGACTTGGCTCCGTCTGCAGATCAAAATGATCTGTGCGGAAAGAGCTTTTGAGTGTTTACCCCTGGGTATTATCCAGGTATTCTGGTGATGGTATGCACATCCTTCCACAATGCATTTACATGACGGAGACATCTCAACAGTATACACGTGGTGATGATGATGATGATGACGAAATGAGATCAGCTCATGTGCAGGAGTTATCTTGCCAAAGCAGAAATGTTGACGTGCCTCAATGGGTATATCCGTCGCCTGATTAAATAACGTACGCAACAACATTGTGACATCGTGGGACCAGAAGTAATGGCGACAGTGTGGGGGAGGCCTTTATCCACCAGTGGAAAAACCACGGCTCATGATGATGATGGCGATCATGAACGGCCTAAAACAGGGGGTCCGGCAAACTAAAATAACAACAAGAAAGAGGCATTATTTTCGAATTCGGTGAAACAAACTCTATATTTCAATAGCCGCAATGCAATGCAAAATACGAGAAGGTGGTGGTCCTTAATAAATCACATCACGAAGCAGTCCTTAAAGAACCGCATGGGACTCCGGAGCCGCTGGTTTGCCGACCCCTGACCTATACGATACCCGTGTGGGAAGCGAGGTTAGTGCTCCGCACGACAAGTCTCCCTCAACGACTGCCTTGTAAGAGCTCTGTCTTGCAAACATTGACATTTCTCCGTTTATGGTTCAGCATGATTTTAAACGCCGGTTACAACTGAGCTTAAGTGTCAAGTCAACAGCCGTAACGTGCAAACAAGACAAAGATCCCCCGTATAGCCTTGACAGACTGTAGCACCTACGAAAGGCCGGCATGGGGGTGTGTGGCCAGCACCACGCCCGGCCGCCTTTGTCTCCCCAGTGGTGATGATTACACATCGCACCAGGTATTCATTCGAGGCAGAGTCGACCTAGGAGAGGCCCAGGACCGGTTTCAATAATCGTCACCGGCGTTGGCCGTGAGCGGGAATCGAACTCGGATCGTCACCACCGCTCCCCACACACACAGACACGCACGGTCAAATTCCATGGAAAGGTTCAGAAACAGATAGAGTCGGGATAATCGTACAATCCAATCCACGCGTAATGTGGGACGTCTATAGTTTAATGAGTGTTCTCTATCGCCTTGGTTCTCTCGGTAAAGTCACGTAGAATGAAAAGAAAAAAGAAACCGCCACTTTTTCCGACATAGTTACATGCTAATCCCTCACACTAACATTATGCTAATCTCCCAGTTACATGCTAATTTCTGACTTTAACATCCTGCTAATCCAACACATTAACACAGCTACTTCAATGCTAAATTCTTCTGTTGATATGTAAACTCCTTCGTCAAGGTGCTCTGCTCCTCCCACCCAGCTTAAAAGACGCTGCCAAGCTTGGCAGTGTTCACTGAAGCACTGTCTTCCCGACAGTTCTGTTTCTTCACCTGAGGAAGGCTACTTGTGTTGTGGCCGAAACGTCGTGATAATTTTACTTTATTATGTTTTATTTTTATTATTTCATTTCCATTCTACGTGGTGACTTCACCGAAACAACCAAGAAGATGAATCCCTGCAGTCACGAAAGCTTTAAATCGAGACAATCCAATCCGCGCGTAATGTGGGACGTCCATAGTTTAATGTTCTTTAAGCACGGGCCGAACCCAAACCATGCTTTCGCACATTATAGGGCGATGAGAGCCCGGACAACGCTCGTGTGAATTTTTGTAGGGCGAAGTATGGTCAAATAACCCCCCACGATCCGCACGGCACCGGGAAATCCCTCTTCCGTGCGTGCGCAGTACGCTCACAAGGGCTGGCAAAGGTTGAAAACAAATGTGGCCAACAGAAACGTTGTTGCGTCCCCGTCCCGTGCGATGTTGTGTGTGTGTGGTCTCTCGTAATCCCGTTACCGCGGAATTGCCCACTCACTGGAAGAACATTCCACGTTGCTGTGACGGCGCCCGGCATGTCCACGGCGCGACCACTCGTCGGCGTGCAGCGTTGTACGGGTAAATGTTGCGATGCGTTGGAATGTTGCGCCCGGTTGTGTTGAACACGATCATTACGGTAGTGTGCAGAAAGTTAGGAGGTTGAAGCAGTTTGTGTTTATAGAAAATACGTGGCACTGCGTGACGGCATGGCCTTAAAGTCGTAGGGGTCCTTTGACCATACTTCACCACGCTGCTTAGTGTGGGATGGTGAAGGCTTCGGGGGGCGGGGGAGGGGCGGGTGATGAGCAGGACAGGTGCAGATTTCACTCGCCACTGATGTTAGCCGTAGCCGGGCATCGGAACGTCGAACTTAGGTCGCGAAGCGCGGTGTGCTAACCACTGTGCCACCACTCCCCACGTTTGTACACGTGCCCGAACTGGCGTGCGTGTGTTTGGTATGTACACACGGGCACGCCGAGGTCGAACGGCCCCGCTTTAACCCCGCACAACAGAGGGTTGGCAACCAAAATAACAAGAGGCGGCAATTTTTTTAAATTATTATTCGGTAAACAAAAAAAAACCTCAATATTTTTTAAGAGCCGCCCATTGCACTGTGTGGTGAACACGAGACACAATAGCACGGTCCTTGAAGATGTTTCCCGACCCCTGGACGAGAGACAGTCGGGCTAAGTGTTGTTTAGCGAGCACCTATTACGGGTCGGTACGCTTGTACCGCCAGGCTGTGCCGATGGCACGGGTACCCTGCAGGCCGGCACGGGTACCCTGCAGGCCGGCACGGCATACCAAGGTGTGTCCAGCAACACGCCCAGTGAGTCATTGGTACTCACACTCTAGATAACACATTATTATCCACCACCTTCAACAAGTCTATACACTCAGCTGATGTGTGTATACACAACACACATCATACCCAGGCCTGCCACGTGTACACGCCTGACAGGTATTACATACAACTGGCGTATGTATACAAAGATAAAGCCCCCCCCCCCCCGCGTATAGCCTGAGCATACTTTTCGAGCAAGTGCTGTGAGCGAGTACTGTATTCATTAAATTCCAGACACATTCACACGTATGAAGGCATCGGCACACTTGACACACAACATACAAAGATCCCCCGTATAGCCTTAACAGACTGTTGGGGCAAGTGCTGTTGGCGAGCACCTATAAAGCCCGGCACGGCACACGAGGGTGTGGGTGGCCAGCACCACGCCCGACCACCTTTGTCTCCCCCCAGTGGCGATGTTTACGCATCGTACCAGGTACTAATTTGAGGCTGAGCCGACCTAGGGGAGGTCCAGGACCGGTTCAGATAATCGTCACCGCTGTTGGCCGTGAGCGGGAATCGAACTCGAGTCGCCAGGTTCGTAGCGCTACACCACCGCTCCCCACACACACAGACACAGACACACACACACGCACAGACACACACACAGACACACACACACACAGACACACACACACATACAGACACACACGCGCGTGTACATGTGGCACGTGCGCACACGCGCACTCATTGTCACGCTGCGCGGCACTACGATGAGAGGGACAAACACGTAAACGCACACAAAAGCAAAGGTCACCCGCGTGGCCTACACAGGCTGCCGGGACAAGGGCGGTTTAACGAGTTCCTATAAAGGCCGGCACGGCAACGCCGCCTCTACCGATGTTTACACACCGCGCCAGGTACTCGTTTTGAGGCTGAGTCGACCTAGGGGAGGCCCGGGACCGGTTCGGATAAATATTCGCCACTGAATTGGACTCGCGTAGCCGAGTTCGGAGCGCAGCGCATGAATCACTACGCCACACAAACACGTGTCCACCACTTGCCACGTGTACACACAGACACACACGTGTCCACCGCTTGCCACGTGTACACACACAGACACGTGTCCACCGCTTGCCACGTGTACACATACGCACACACGTGTCCACGACTTTGCACGTGCACACAGACACACACGCACACACCGTGTCACTCTCCCTCGCTCTCACCTGACGCAGGCTGCGCAGCACGGCCATGGCTCTGTCCGCGTCCCCGTCCCGCACCAGGGCGTGCATCTCCCGCACCATCGCCACGCGCCGCGAGTACGGAGCCGCCGGGCTGTCCGGAGCCCGCACTTCGCCGCCGCCGCCGCCTCTCGGCTCCCCGGTGCGGCCGAGCAGCAGCAGCTGGCTCAGTCCCGAGCCATGATCGCGCCTGTCTCGAAGGCGCCCCGACGACTCGGGACTACCGGCACCGGCAACACGACTTGCCTTGGCCGCCTTGCCGCCCATAGTTGGTGAAGTATGGTCGAGCGCTTGCTTTCCAGCGCACGTGCAAGTGCCGAGTGAGCGGCTACAGTGTGTGTGTGTGTGCGCGCGTGTCCTGTGCTTGCCTTTAGTTTGGTCGAAGCGTCTGATAGCCGTGTGGATATGGACGGACGGATGGCCGGTTGGATGGATGGATGAATGGATCAGCAGGGCTGTCCTTGTTTGTCGGCGTGAGAGTGCGCGTCTCGACGCTCGTCTATCGCACGCGCGCGCGCGTGTGGATGGATTGCGCAACGTGCGGATGCGTTGGAGTCTAAAGCACGCGCACACCGTGGGGCTGCTTGGATGTGTCTGTGATACGGCTACCCTATAGTCTCTGGATAGTTACGCCAATACTATTCCCCCGTGTGTCATGAGATATAGGATGCATATATAGGGCGCGTACGCAGTCTTATCCAGTATCTGGGCGGGTGTAATTGAATACAGCCACATGATATATATTCCGGGTAGATACACGTGCACTTAATCGACGCACTGGTGACTCAATACAATACACATAACATTTATCCACTACGACACTGTCTCGTTATATGTCTTATAACCCACTCGAGCACGGATGGCTACGTACGGTGCGAAAAAAGTTCAGCATCCGTACATCGTGTGTTTGGATGGATGCGCGTATATCGTGTACTAGTGGCCGGGCGCATAAACGTAGACCGTATATTCACCCTTAGTGAATGCACGCACGTATACAGCGTACACACACCGAAAACACACACCCACACTACTCGAGTGCTTGGACAGGTAAGCGAGGCTATACGCACCTGTAACCACGCAAATGCATGCAGCGTGTGATGGTTTTGAACAGTGTAAGGCGCCTACACACGAATCGATAGGGACAGATGGACGCGTGCGCAGTTGCTCGCCTATCTATATAATCTATGGCAAATCCCGACGACTCATCATTCTCTATCGACGCTGGCTTTCGGCCGAGAGCCGATGCTGGCTTGCTCGTGAGCCCCCTCCTCCTCCGCCCTCCTCCTCCGCCCTCCCTTTGAAAGGAGTGAAGCCAAAGGACGACCATCAGCAAACTGGGATCGGCATCGCAACGTCGCCCCGTTTGCACGGACGAGCCAAGGACCCCACCCCCACTCGATTGCCCAGAAGACGACCGGTGGCCGTGCGATCTAAGACCATTGATGAGATGGGACGGTGACCCAAATCCCCTCCCTCGGCTCCTCCCCAACCCCCTCTCTCCTGGCTCCCTCCCAACTCGACGCACGGATTCCACAGGCTGAGAGCTGCGCACTCTAACTGTGTTATTGTAAACCCCACGTGTATCGGCAATTCACTGGAACGCGGCGTTCTTGCTACGTGATGTGGGGCGATTGATGTGTGATGATGACTGATGATAATTGGCGATGGTTGTGGCTAAGGAGATGGCTCCTGTTACTCCCAGCACGGCACCTCCAATTAGCACGGTCTGGCTACGTACCGTGCGAAATAACTTCAAGGTGCATACCTTATCATTGATTGATGAACGAAGCGATGATCATGATGTACATGCCATTCGACGACGGTGATTGCGGCTCGCAGTGAGAAGAGATCGCGGAGGACTGTGCAGTCGCTTGCCTCGTCGGCATGGACTTGAGTTATGAAAATCCAAGTTGATGCTACAGGACCGCAGCGGTACATTGGGGCGCAAAGAAGAAGGAGAGGACGCAACAGCGGTGGTTGGGCCACGTGGCACGGCGAGGGTTTCGTCACCGAAAGCGTGCCCCCCCCCCCGTGCCTCGGGGAGAGGGGGTGCACGGGTAGCCTCAGGTGGTAACAGCTGAGAAATGTGCACAGGTGGCAGATGGTTCTTCGGTCGACGCTGGCAGGTCAGGTTGTAGGTGGCAGGCAGCGGAGGCGGCACGTGGCACAAGGTACGAATTTGCACAGGTGAGAGGCTGCTCAGGTGACAGTTCAGATGGCAGAGTGGGGGGGAGATTAGATGACAGGTGGTACAGGTGACACAATGCGACACAGGTGGCAGGTTGCGGGACCTGTTGATGCGCTTGAGATGCGGGTGGTGGCGCGTCCTTCCAGCGAATGATTTTTATTCAAGATATGAATTGTATTGGTATTGTGGTCGTTCGTAAAGGGAAACTCAGCCCTGATCCCAGAGGCAGAAACTCCCACTTACAAATTGACCGAACATCCTATTACAGCAGGGCCCCTTTAAAGGAGATTTTTGAGACTCGACCGACGATGATTTCTGTGAAGAACGATTATTCGCTGAAACAATTGTTCATGTTAACATACTTATAATTTAATTTGAATTATTACCTATTTAGGCGTTTTTTTAAAGCCAACAGTCTATCGCATTGCATCGTGTGGCATGCGGAGGCTTTCATCCAGCAGCTGATTGACAACGGCCTACAACAAATGATGGCTCCTGCACTATTATTACTATCGTAGGCGCAGTATTCTAGGAACCCTATTGCAACGTAAAAAAAAGTCGAGAGGTTCAGTCCTGGATTTCGTATGTCAACAAACTATTAACTCGGTATGACAGTATTACGAGTCAATATTATTGTTGTAGATACAGCTATTAACCTAATGGAGGCTATCAACATTACACGTCCCACATTCACTACGAATGTTTACAGTTAGTTCCCAATGATGATCAAGACGACGAAGACGGTAGTGATAATGATGATGATCGCGATGAAGTGCGGATGACCACAGGTCACTCACTAAATCGTCTTGAGTTGCCTGTTGCTTCCGCTGACCCCTTTCAACACCGTGTGCCCAACAGCCGTGATGGTGTCAGCGATTTCATTCATTCAATTCCTGCAGTCCGTCGGAATCTTCTCATTCCCTTTTCCTGGAATGGCACCTTGAAGACCAAAGCAGCCGTCGTTGCTCGAACCTTTGATTCCGCTCATCAATGTCCTTTGAAACGCCCTCCCGAATTATTGGTGTCGTCATTGCTGATGATGTTGGTGGCCCCGGTTACGACGTTGGCGATTTGTGTTCTTTTAAGTGAATCGAGTTAAAAGTCCACGTGTCTCTCACACAGGGACGTCAGTCTCTTTGGTGAGTCGCTCGCGGACTAACTCACCCATTGAGCTGCCCTCCTGGCTCTGTAGACTCGTGAGAGTGAGTAAGTAGATAGAGGGAGGGGACTTTAGTTTGAGAAGTCCGTGTGATCCCAGCCGATTCCAACAATCACCGCCGAGTCTCAGCTCGCCAGTTGCTTCAGCGATTTCTGGAGATCTCAACACCATCAACACGCGGTCGCTTCTAAGCACGCTGCCGCTGCTTATATCCACTATCCGTGCCACAACCGCTACTGGTACTTGTGCTGCTACTTCGGTTGCTGCTGCTGCTGCTACTAAAGTACCTCTGATATTGCTACAGCCACCACGATCACTGCAACTACTCCTGGATAACTCCTCTTGTCACTACTGCGAACGATACTTCTTCTGTTGCTACTGGATGCCGATGTTGCCGCTACCACCGCTAATGTTGCTGCTGCTACTTGATACTCCTGCTACTGTTGACACAACTACTTATACACAGGCAGCGACCACGTGTATGTACTGTACGTTGAACTTCTTCGGCGCCGTGCGTAGCCAACCGTGCTGATCGGAGGCGCACAGGAGACTGCGTCGATCGCTACGCGTGCTACTTACGCAGTACCCACTCGACTGATAGCACTACCGCTGGCCGCCGCTGTTGCTGCCGGCAGTAAGACTCAACTCTTAGCCAGCAACAGACGCGGCAGAAGACAGCGTAGGGAGGGAGTGGAGCAGACCAGCTCCAGCTCACTCTTCCACTCACTCTTCCACTCACTCCTCCACCGCGTGCCAGGCTGCCCGTGCCACGGAACTCGTAAGCAGCAACGTCGCTTCATCCAATCGCCGACAACTCGCTCGCTCTCTCGCTCGCAGCTTCTCTTTCTTTATTATTTCTGGCGGCTTCCAGGGAGGGGCGGCTTTCGCATCCGACCGAATACGACGACGGTGATGTTATGATAATGGAATCCCCAGTAACACCACCATCATCTTCATCACGGGCGGCATCTTCATCATCATCAGCAGCAGCTGCGAGCAAGCACATAAAGCGAGAAAATAAACCCGGAGTGTAAAGCAGCCACGACGCTCGGTGCTGATTAAATGACCGCTCCTCTCCTCCGTGCCGTGTGCACCCCCCCGCCCCGCTGCGTGTGACTGCCTATCCGTGAGCGGAGTCCTCCTAAAGTGTGGCTGGTGTTGGTCCTCGTTGTTGTTGATGTTGTATCACCCCACGCCCCGTATGACCGAGTGCCTTGGTTCAAAGCCGCGCGCGAGGCTCTTCCCGACCCCACCCACCCCACCGCCTCTCTCCTCTCGCTCTCTCCGCACGCCTCTTGGCACCGCACGCGAGCCCCGGCACCGCCTCCTGCTCCTCCTCCTCCTGCTGCTCCAGGGGCACCCCACCCCGGCATCTCCTCCTGCTCCAGGGGGCACCCCGGCACCCGCTCTCGTCTGCTCGGGGCGTGGCGTGGCTGAGAGTGCCGTGGAGCGTGTGTTGTGGTCAGCGTTGTGTTGTGGTAAGCGTTGTGTGTGTGTTGTGGTCAGCGTTGTGTGTGTGTGTTGTGGTCAGCGTTGTGTGTGTGTTGTGGTCAGAGTTGTGTGTGTGTGTTGTGGTCAGCGTTGTGTGTTGTGGTCAGCGTTGTGTGTGTGTTGTGGTCAACGTTGTGTGTGTGTGTTGTGGTCAGCGTTGTGTGTGTGTGTTGTGGTCAGCGTTGTGTGTGTGTTGTGGTGAGCGTTGTGTGTGTGTTGTGGTCAGCGTTGTGTGTGTTGTAGTCAGCGTTGTGTGTGTGTTGTGGTCAGCGTTGTGTGTGTGTGTTGTGGTCAGCGTTGTGTGTGTGTGTTGTGGTCAGCGTTGTGTGTGTGTTGTGGTGAGCGTTGTGTGTGTGTTGTGGTCAGCGTTGTGTGTGTTGTAGTCAGCGTTGTGTGTGTGTGTTGTGGTCAGCGTTGTGTGTGTGTTGTGGTCAGCGTTGTGTGTTGTGGTCAGCGTTGTGTGTGTTGTGGTCAGCGTTGTGTGTGTGTTGTGGTCAGCGTTGTGTGTGTGTGTTGTAGTCAGCGTTGTGTGTGTGTTGTGGTCAGCGTTGTGTGTGTGTGTTGTGGTCAGCGTTGTATGTGTGTGTTGTGGTCAGAGTTGTGTGTGTGTGTTGTGGTCAGCGTTGTGTGTGTGTGTTGTGGTCAGCGTTGTGTGTGTGTGTGTTGTGGTCAGCGTTGTGTGTGTGTGTTGTGGTCAGAGTTGTGTGTGTTGTGGTCAGCGTTGTGTGTGTGTTGTGGTCAGCGTTGTGTGTGTGTGTGTTGTGGTCAGCGTTGTGTGTGTGTTGTGGTCAGCGTTATGTGTGTGTTGTGGTCAGCGATGTGTGTGTGTTGTGGTCAGCGTTGTGTGTGTGTTGTGGTCAGCGTTGTGTGTTGTGGTCAGCGTTGTGTGTGTTGTGGTCAGCGTTGTGTGTGTGTTGTGGTCAGCGTTGTGTGTGTGTGTTGTAGTCAGCGTTGTGTGTGTGTTGTGGTCAGCGTTGTGTGTGTGTGTTGTGGTCAGCGTTGTATGTGTGTGTTGTGGTCAGAGTTGTGTGTGTGTGTTGTGGTCAGCGTTGTGTGTGTGTGTTGTGGTCAGCGTTGTGTGTGTGTGTGT